TGCATTAGCCGCTTTACTGAATACCTAGCAGACCGCCTATGCATTAGCCGTTTTACAGAAAACCTAGCAGACCGCCTATGCACTAGCCGCTTTAAACAGTTTTAAACAGTTTTGCAGGTACGTTTTCACACCTGCCACTGCCGGTCTTCGTTGGCCACAGCAGCAGTTGCAGGTCTGTGGCCCCCCGCTTCTTTTGGTCCTAGTAGTAAGGTCAGAAACTACTAGTAGCACTCAGCCTTCTAGTGGAACCGACGGTAAAAATTACCAGGTAAAACCTTAGAAACAGGTGTTAACACACACACACACACCAATTGTTGATGGAGACACGTGATACACCGACAACGGAAAACATATATACAGTACTGTAGTCAGAATTACGTGCTTCCTGTTGGTAGATGTTGTTAGCAAAGCCCGTTGGGCCACGAACACCACACGGGGCGCCAAAATGGGCCAGTCACATATGGTCGCGTCAAATGGGCTGGGCAAGGCCCAGGCATTGTCTGATGCCAACAATGGGGAAACAGCTCCAGTGGCTGAACTCCTTGGTGAGCGGAAGGATCAAAATTTGAGGGAAGCATCCCGCTGCTGACTCATCCGTACCAGCCAACTGTGACTTCCATTGATCATTGGGCGCACCTTGGAAGGTCCAGTATATCACACATAATAGTGTTATATAATATATAATATTAATATCATAGTATGATCATATGTTATTATACTGTGGCATAGTACGAATTTCAAATGAATACAAGCAAGTCCTCCATTCCCAAACATTAGTGGTGAACCCATAGTTGTGGACGCTCTGTGTGGGACAAGCACCTTTAAATTTAAAGATGCTAAATACACAAGCTGACAGTGCTTCGAACGTCCTGTGCTCAGCAATATGAGAAAATGGGAGGACTCACCACAAATTCCCATTCCCTGCACTTCCATGAAGTTCCCCGAAAACAACATAACCCATACGGTATAAAAGCATGACCAATCGCAAGGTGAAAGTCAATAGCACAAAAGCAGGGTGTCCTTTGCTCACAGGATCGCCATCTGCAAAATGTAAAGGGGCCCCTACATCGGGGGCTAAAAAATCTGAAACCGACTTGCAGTAAGGTGCAAAGGGATTTCCTCATGCAGCAAAAGCAGTGTTTGGCGAAGTATATGACCCCTGGATTCGTTTGCTTCAATTTTGTTTCGTCGTCCACCGTTTCAATGTGTTATCCGATTTCAAAAGGTCTGGGAGTAAATGCATGGTGCCTGTCCGGGCCGGAAAAAAAACACGTGACTATTTGGGTGACAAAATGTAAATGATGACTTGCTGTGAATATAGGAATCAGTTTTGCAATATAATGGACATATCATGGAATTCAATTAACTATTTACTGATCCTTCGCATAGACATGGAAGAAGGACCTTCGAGCTGTTGTAGCCAGACCATTTCAGCAATGTGCTAATGGCCATTGGATGCGTTTTAGGCCTCCTGACCGTCCTCAATACTCCATCATGTTCCAATGTATAGAGGCCAATGTTGAGAATCCAGAAAGTACCTTGGACCTGTAGATACTGCATCCTTAAATTCCAGATTAGAAACCGCCACAAATCCAGCATCCGATCCTCACCAGGGCTCCATGGCTTTCAGCTTCGACCAGTGCTTCATTGGAGGAATCCTGCACGGTCGAGCCAAGTCCGGTCGCACCTGCAGGCTCCCCGCGCAGCTCAAGGGACACGCCGGTCGCGCCGCTTTCAGCATCTTGGGCGTTCCTGAGGCAACGCCAAGCTGGTGGTGCTGAGGTAAAGGAATCCAGGCTTGTAGGAATGCCCTTGGGAGGATGGGCGAAGGGAGGGGCGAGGGAAGGGGCTGAATCAAAGACCTTGGCCAAATAGTAAACAGCTACGCCAAGCCAGCCAACCTAAACCTTAACTCAACTCTGGGGTTAAATGCAAACCTTGGGTTTAGTATATAACTTAACCCAAATCCACAAATACCTAGGGCTTGACAGGGAAACCCTGAGTATTCCTTTCATCTGCATCTCATCTGCTAGGTGGTGGGCTCTTTTGCACTACACTGGTCAGCTCATGTCCCAAGGAGGTTGGTGCGGAAAACGTCCAGGAGCTTGGGGCAGTGAAAAGCAAACACCAGCTCATTGGCTGGGACAAAATGAGTCGTGACATCCGTTCCCACATGCCATCGTTCGCACATCCCCTCGTATCTCGATCTTCCTGGCATGGAAGTTTGACATGTTTACCATGATTACTCTACTACCTTAGGTGTTGAAACAAGCATAAACAACACCTAGATTTCCAAACCCTTGGCTTACCCGTGACTTCCGAGTGCAAACCAGTGAACAAACCGAACGGTGTGCAGAGTGGCTTGAAAAAAAACTTCTCAACTGGATGGTGTTCAATGGGCTTTGACTGTAATGGGAGCCGGGAGCATCCACCACTTTTGATATACAGTAGATCATTCTCCACCAGTTCAGCCTAGTGTTGGGAGTTCCCGAACATTGAAACTCATGATGTTACGTGCTTGTATGCATGCAAACTTCACAATCCACTGGTAGTAAGCAAGCACCGAAGATCATCTACCTTGGCTCCTGTGCTTCGTGTGTCTTGTTGGCCACATCAGCATTCAATAGGTGAAACATAGCTGGCTAAGCGCAAACCTCGGGCATTCTGGAAAACACGTGGTTTTCTTCGGGCATGCGCACGGTTCAAGGAGACCCCAAGTGATGCCTCAGGCATGCAGCAGGGAGCAGCTGTGGGCGAAAAGTAGTGCACTTATATTTAGAGCTTATATACTTGCTATGTTAAATAAGCTCTATATATATATATATGTCATGTGGCTGTACTTTGGATGTATTCCACGCATGGGCTACAAACCACACTGGGCAAAGTAAAACATCTATCCCAGGGATTTAGGCCTGAGGGCTATGAGTGGATGCCCTGGGCCGCCCCTCACAAACTCCCCAAACCGGCCAGGCATCTGCACCATCAAGTTCGTCGAGAGGGCGCGGAAGACCCGGCCCGCCGAAGCCAAGACCATCGTGAACCTCGGCTGTGTCTTGCTTGGACACTACGCTAGGAGCAAGGACGCTCCTAGGGGCTCCTGGCCTTACTACTAGGAGCAAGGACGCTACTAGGGGCTCCTGGCATCGCTACTAGGAGCAAGAAGCTATGAGAAACAAGAATTCAATAGAATTAGTTCTTAGGGATTCTGCTCAGGTGTCTGGCTGAAATGGGGCCTTTGCCGCAGGCCGCAGGGCTGGAGCTCTGTGTCACGAAGCGAATGAGGAACGCCCTGGTTTTAGTGGGAGTTTTCACGTGTCAAACCAGAATCTCTCACAGGATCTCACAGGATATTGCAGAAATGAGTGGAGAAACAGTGTCCACACAGTTCCTGGAGCCTCTCTCTTGGCTGACCGTCATCTTCCAAATCATCACAGTTCACCCAAATCCATCCAAATCCTAAAGCGGTCAGCTCGACCCGGCTTTGCCCCTCACTCTTCCCTCAGCTCACCAGCTCCCTCCACCTGCAGCGGGCCACTGGAGTCGTTGCCGCGAGCGTTGCTCCTGGTGCTCCACACTGCTCTGCATGTCACTGACGGCCACCCCCAGCTGCGACGTGGCAGCATGCAGCTGGTTGAGGAAGCTGGTCAGCTCTGCCTCTGGGTGCTGGTTGAGGAGTGTGGTGCCCCTCTGGGGCATGGAGGGGACAAGCAAGCATCAGCAAGTATGCAGTGTGACAACCTGGAGGTCTAGGATGGGCATCAGTTTCTTCACAGCTGTCGATGTGGGTGCTACCTGAAAGACCCACCCACGCAGGGAATAGCTGCAATACGCCGTTCCCCACCGACCAAGGTCGTAAGCCTCATCTAATTCCAACAAGGCCTCCAAACGCAACAGCTCTTTCGCGGCGAGGTTCTCCGTTTCCCCGCCTGAGGGGTCAGCCCCTCCGGAGGTGCTCGAAAGCCGCTGGTGCGGCCCAACGCCAACTGAGCACCGAGCCGTCCGGGTCCCAATGTCTTTTGCGGGGCTTGGTGGACTAAGGATCGGCCCAAAGAATGAACTAGTTACCTGGAACGCCAGAGACCAATTCAAACTTGCTGTACCCACCAAAAAGAACAAGTTTCCAGGATGTTTCCAGGTAGAATCTCCACTGCCACTCGTTCAGAAGACGAGTGGCTCCCGGGCTCGTGGTTGGGGGAAATAGTTGGTTCATACAGCTCCAAAGTTGCTCGTGCCCAATCGAAAGTCAGCTATAAACAATCCCTTGGAGTCTTCTTTTAACAAAAGAAGTGGCGCAATCCACCAACCATGGGTTGAGTGCTCCTCATTTTGCTCCCCACTCACCGTCTGGGATCCAGGGACAAAAAAAGGTGCACAGGGATGATGAATGGTTTGCTCCCTTTGTTTTACATATTTTCCCTCAGTCTTGTGATGTCTTGTGTCAGGTGCCATGTTGCCTGAAATTGAACAACTCGACCTTCAATGGGGGGTCGAATGGAACCCATTTTACCACCCCTTCTTGGAATCAACTAAAACCTTGACCCCGAAAAAACAATCCTACAAGTAGATACAGCTTGAAGAACTCACTGCTACTATTGAGCACCCGGTATATATGCATAATAGAATAACATACAAGTACTTTAATACCACTAATAAGAGTATCTATTTGGGGCATTCAGGGCCTGCCTCAAAAATGCAATCACCCCAATCCGTCGCTTGTTGTCTAATTTTATACTCCCTCCAACACTATATATTCCTGTACCCTCGTGGTGTGCATTATTTCTGCCGCTGCCTTTTGGGAT